CCTGGTTGTTCATTTTTGAAGTTTAAGATCAGCCACACTGGCTGACATTGGAACATCTCCCAAAGAGGAATAAATAAGTTGGCTGTGTCATTAAAATGGTTTCCCCAAAATAGCTAGGGGGAGGCTGACTTTTGAAACTGCAAGGCATGCCTTACTGGCCAGTATAGGAGCAAGCTTGTCCTGGAGTTATGAAAGATGGAAGAAGTCAGATAGAAAAGGGATTCAGTTCCTGCCAAATAGCATCTTGCTTACCTCATCTAGTCCTAGCTACGTGCTGGGCATAGCAAGAATGTGTTGTTTCCTCTCAGCTTGTTTCTTTGAGTTTATGTCAGCCTGCATCAGTTGCTTTGCCAGGCTCTGGTGTGTCAGAAGCACTTGCCTTAACAGCTGCGCAGATACGGCTATGTGACAAATTCCAGGGTGAAGTTTGTTATGGTGGTGGATTCTTCAAACACAGCACTTCGAGACAACGAGATCCGCAGTGTAAGTGCAGGACGTGAGCATGACTTACCAATCAGTGTTTTTGCTACTTATTCATAAAGTGCTGAGAAGCAAAAAAAGTATTAATTAAACTACAATCTCTTTTCAGATGTTCCGAAAGCTGCACAATTCATATACAGATATAATGTGTAACCCCTTTTATAACCCTGGGGACCGTATCCATTCCAGGTAAGTTGAGCATACTAATATTTGTCATCTTTCTGGAACTTGCAGTATACCCACAATGTAACAGCAGCAAGAGCATGACCCCTGTGGCTGACCATTTCAGATGTTCATGCCTAAATGGAGAAGAGCTGTGTTGCCTTTAGGCCATTTCTGTGTAACAGAAAATTGATAGTCTCATGACTGCCTCACTCCTACCTCAGAACTGGTGGTAGAAACACTGATGCAAGAAAATTTGTTTCTTGGAGAGAAAAAAAAACATCACCTGTTTCGTAGGTGACAGAAATAAACATACTTGTAAGCAGAGCAGGTTAAAAAGTGAACAACTGCACTTGTTCAGGGCTTATCCTTGAGTAAGGACACGTGTAATTGGAAGGGCCAGTGCCTCCCATTTCTTACCTGTAATCTCACAGGGGATTCTAGTAATGTTTGGACCTTCTGTTGCCTGGGCAAAAACACCTTCTTACACTTTGCTGAGGTCTGCAGCCAGGGTGAAACCTATCCTTACTTTAGCTTAGTTAAAAGTTATTACTTACCCAACAAAGCATAGTTAAAAACAAGGCATTCAGCACAGGGAAAACCATCTTGTTAACCAGCAAAAGACATTGTTAGCCATTGCCTTTGTTACAATAGGTGTGCTGGGCAGAACTAGCTGCTTCCTCTAATATTCTGTGTTCATTCCCTTCTCTAGGGCTTTTGATAATATGGTGAACTCCATGATGATGCAGGTGTGCTGAAGCACTGCCCCTGATCCATGTGTTGAGGACGTCTCCCATGTGCAGCAGTGTGCATAAAGTGATGTATATATTGTCTTTGTTCTGTGCAATATCTTAAATTTATTCTATGTAAATAAACTGGACACCTGCAAGGTCTTCATGCATTTCATCTCCAGCAAACCTGAGTATAGCACAGACATCACTGTTCATCTTTATGCCTTCAGGCAACATGTGAGAGCCAGCTCTTCCTTCAGGAAGGTCAGCCTATGTCAGATAGGTTTGTTCCCTGCAGAAATGCATGCAGCTGTGCTTCTGTGCAAGTCAGATGTTTCTGTAGAAATTGAGCTTTGTGTAAAAACAGCAGTTCCTGCTGTGCTGATGATTAGAGCAAGAACAGCTGCACAAGAGGCAGCTAAGTGATTATTATTAGGTCAACCTAGATTTCAGTCAGCTGAGATGCAGAGTGACATTGATCCTCAGAAGCACTGGTGCTTCAGAGCAGTTCCTCTGAAGCAGGGGAAGCACATCAGCCACAGAAGTCCTTTTGCTCTTTTTCACCCCTCTTTGCTCAGGACTGTTCATTCTGACAGGAACATCACAAGCAATGCTCACTTCAAACATACTTGGGCTTTTGTCCTGGTTTTCCTGTTAGGAGCACTCAGATCTGTATGTACTTACTCCATTAGTTCTTGGAAAGAGAAAACTCTGCAAGTCAGCTGAAGGCTTCAGGTTTCTCTACACCCCCAGACACTGTTTACATACTTGAGAGAGCTCTGCCAATAGCAAATAGCTGGTCTCAAAACAGCACCTTGAACCCAATCAAACCTTGCACTTCCTGGGGGAAGGTCTTTGGGTGACTCACATTTGACAGCACCTCCTGATATTCACACTCACACCTCATTCAGGCTGGCCAAGCACACTTAACAGCTATTTCTAGCCCAGGTAGCACAGCTGGGATAAATCCACACAAAAAGATTAAGACAGGATTGCACAGCTGCCTGGCTCATCCCAAACTAATCTCTATTAGCATCTCCTCCCCCTGCAGCTCTCTGCTGTTGTAATTAAAGACTGCCAAATCAATACCAGGTATTTGTATAGGAAAACCCCACCAAGTAGGCTAGAAAAGCTTCTTAATTGCTTGTGCAGTACATTCATACTACACAAGGCTGTGCAGCTACAGCATGGTCAGCAGAAGTAACACAGGCAGGCATAGGCACTAGCCAGCTACTTGGTCACACACCTCTACTCCAAGTTTTTCCTGCCCCACATGCAGCAGTCTGTGCTTAAGCATCTAATAAGTTAAAAATCTATAAAACATAAGCTGAGAAAGATAATTAAGTAGTTGTACAGCTCCAAAGGATACAAGAAGCCTGGAGAAAGCCAGGTCAGTGTTGAGTCAACTCCAGTCTTACTGCAGACTATGTTCACACAGCAGGGTAATTTATTTTAAAGTGACATTTGCAATACCTTCTGAAACAGAGCTTCCATACATTTAAATTAACAACCTCTCAGATCATCAGAAAGTGCTGAAGCCTCTCCCACCATCTAACACACAGCTGCAGACTGCTATTCCAAAACATCTTCCTGTACATCTTCACTCTTTTCACTTCAGAGTGGGAATTCAGCACTTCAGAATCCAAACACCCGAAAGTAATTTTTGTTTAAAGTGAAAAAAAAAATTTACAGAGATACTAAAGTGAAAGTTTAAAGCCTAAGAAAAAAATACTTTTTCTAAGTCTAAACTTAAGGTGTAGCTCAGATAGAGGCCAGTCTTGGGAAAGGCACAAAACACAACATTGAGGGTTAAAGCCACCAGCTTTAAAACAAACAAACAGAAGTCTTTTAGGTTTCAAGGGGGGAAATCACTGGGCTCTTTATGCTGGCAATGCCTCCTGAGCTGTGAAAAGCTGCTTTAGGTATCAGTCACATTGGGGTTGGAGGAATCCTAACCAAAGATTAGTGTGAGAATTGCATAATAAAACAGATTTCAGTGCAGAACTTCACTCAGCTGAGCTTACACCATTCCCACCCAGGGACTCCTGAGGGGAGTAAAGAGGAAGATCAGACCAAATTTGCAACAGTGGAGATGGTTTTGTGAGAAATAAAGTAGAAAGACGAGTTGGCAGCACCCATTGATCCCTACAACTTTGGGGTACAAGCAGGAAGAGGGACAAAGGGGTTGTTGACTTCTTAAATAAGAGGGAAGGATTTTGTGACACCCAGGTTTTGTTTAGGCATCAGAGAGATACAGAGGCTTCCACAGAAACAGCAAGGGGTGGTTTTCTCCCCTTCCCTAGTTATTACATGTACAAGAGCAGTGAGCTAAAAAACAGACCCAAAACACACAATTGGCTCCATTCTCTTTCCAAGAGGAAGGTCAGAAATGCACAAGGCTGATGAAGCTCCCCAGCAGTCAGATGTAGAGCCACAACCCAGGACTTTCTCCACTGATCTGGAGAAGAGTCTTTGGAAGGGTCTTTCTTACAAGAAAGAGAAAGCAGCATCCAGCTTCTGTACAAAATGCTGGCAAAGCTGAAGGACCTTCACGGGTTGAGCATCCTCATAGCAGGTTTAAGGATATCTGGACAGCGAGAAGCTAAACCAAACCTTCTAGTGCAGCCTTTGTCTACGGGATGAGAATGAGCCTTGATGGTCTGGGGCATCTCTTCCCTCCTGAGGGTAGAGTGTTCTCTGGAATAAGACTGTACTTGATGGAAACCCCATAGCAAACCTAAGGCGAGTCCCTCTGGGATGCTGTCAGGATGTGCGGATGGAGAAGACCCAGTCTTCCACTGCCAGGCACATGGCTGCTTCACCAGTAATCCTCACAGCTAAGCAGATGGCATTGTTCAAATTAATCTTTTTTGGCTACGCATGTTTTTAAATCTCTCCAATCCCATTTCTTCATTTCAGCCCAGTCGGCATCACCAGGGTAGTCCAACGCTTTCTGGTATGTAGTAAGGCAGCATCTTTGCCCAACCCCTAAAGAACAACAAAAACAGCATCCTGAAGCACAGGTGCGTTGCTCAGCTGTCAACTGTGCCAAAACCAGCTCCTTCACCCCTCCAAGAGCTGGATTCACCCTTCTGCCCCAGATAACCAAGACTAAGCCTCCAAAGCCAGGCACAGCTTGCACTGGTCAGGCTGGGAGCCAGTGACCACTGAAGTCCCCGCAGGGACAAGGAGACAGCAGCAGATTTCCAGGTGCTTCTTTCACCCCCAGAGCTCTTCTCTGCTTCTTCCCACAGTGCCAAAGGCACTGGGGCATCAGTGAACCTAATCCACAGTGAGCTCACATGTATGAGCAGCAGCAGGAGGTGTGTTGGAGAATAGCTCCAGGCCTGCACTAGGAATGCAGGGACTGCAGCATGGATGGGTTTGCTGTGCCATCACTGGGGGCTCACTTTGGTCCTTCACCCCACACGCCACCCCCCCAAGTGCACAGGCACGGGGATGATGTTTACAGCACAGAATGGGCCTGAGCCCTTTTCCTTCCTCCCACCCATTCCAGCTGCAGAGCCAAGAAGCTGAGCATGACCAGAACAAGGGGCAGCTCCTCCAGGGGTCTTACCCAAATACACACGAACTCCCCCACCTGGCCACGCACCCATATTCCCTCCCTCATGCGCTTGTGTACTGCTTTCCATAGCAGGATTCCCACTCGGTCGTCCGTCTGCAGGCTCGGAAGTGGCCCTGGTAACCGCCACGGTTGGTGGTGCTGATGCCTGGCAAGTTGGTTCTTTTGGGGAGTACCTGGAAGGCAAAGTGTGGATCAGCCAGTGCCGATGGTCAGCACAGCCCCATGCACACAGAGATGGGAGAAATGCATGCAGCACCCCAGGGTGCTGCTTACCTTAATCACACGGCCTCTGAACAAGATCCTGTTCAGCGACATTGCAGTCTTCACAGAGCTCTGCTCTTCAAACTCGATGTAGGCATACCTGCAATGGGATGGGGTGAGCACAGCCCCAGGGACACCCCACTGCTCCCACAGGATGGGGAGCACCCTGGAGACCCCAGCAGCGCAGCACTGACCCTTTGGGGTACCCCGAGAACCTGTCGCAGATGATGGTCACTCTTTTGATCTTCCCGCAGCAAAGGAAGAAAGACTCCAGCTCTTCCGCCGTGGCCCCATAATCCAGCTGCAAAGACAGTCTCAACTCCTCCAGTGCCACCAGCCAGCCCCCCATAGCCTATGGGTCTACATTCACACACCATCACCGAGACTAAGGACCCAGCTGACCCTTCTCGCACCATCTCCTGAGGTTCAGAAGGTCCCTTCCAGCTGAAGGCTCCAGCCTGGAAACCCAAACCCAAGAGACAGCTCCCCTGGCTTTGGGGGCACAAGCAACAACACAAACCCCGCAGCTTCCAGCAGGACATTTTGGGGAGCTGACACAACAGATTATCTGCAAGTGGTTGGAAACCACAAGGAGATGCTGAGCCACAATCCCAGTCTGGGCTGGGCAGAGGAGAAGCATTTGGGATCGAACCAGCCAGCCTTCACTGCGGGGTGGATGTACCCTGTGTGAGGGATCTCAGGCATATGTCCAACTGGACCAGGAGCAGGGAAGATGGGGTCCGCTCCAGGCTTTCCCACTTACGTTGCCCACATAGATGGATTTCTGGTCAGACTCTGCCTTGTTATGGATTTCCTTTGAGAAGACACCTGCAGAAACAAGGGTTGCTTTGTCCTGCTGGTGGAGGTCTGCTACCACAACAACCACCACCACCAAGCTGACATACTGCAAAGCTCCCCAGGTCCCCTGTCACATCCAGGCATATCAAATCCCCACACTACTGCATCTGCCTCCTCCATCCCCTTCCCCTCTTTCTCTTCAGAATACAACCCAAACCACAGCACAACTGCTCTGTTGAGGCTGTTGGTGCTAAACTCAATTAATTAACTGAATTAAAAGTAATCAATTTACTGCAGCTTTGCCTGCACACATATGAGGTAAGAGTGGATATAACTTGCATTAGCACCATGCCACACCTGGGACCCTATCCTTCATTCACCTTCAATGTCCAGCCCCAGGCTGTCCAGAGAGGCACAGCCACATGCTCTGGCTCCAGCTCCCACCCTGTGCCCCAGCCATGTCCCTGGGTGTACAGCAGCACCCAGGAACAGCCCATACCTGGCTCCAAGTTCCCAGGAAGGCTGCTCTCAGCTTCCAGCTGCACCCTCTTCATCCACTCAGCCTTCTCCATCACTCTGGTTGTGACGGCCTGTAGCTCCTGAAACCCCAACCAAGACTTGGATGAGCAGTGCATGAACACGGATACCCTGATCCCTCTCCCCACTCTGTGCTGCACAACATGCACCTCCATCTGCAGCTGGGCACAAGGGTGGGCCGGAGACAACAAAAGGGAGTTTATCTCCCAGCTCCACTAGGGAGTAAACCCACAGGTATTTCCTTTCCCATGCTTGCAAAGCAGCAGGCACAAGGCCAGCAGGAAAGGGGAAAAGAAGGCAGGACTTGCGCCGCCATATTGCTCCCAGGCTGCACGGAGGGAGCCGTGCTTCACCCAAAGGCAAACCCACTCCCTTTCAGCCCTGTGCTCCTGGTTTGAGCTCACAGCGGCTTAAACTCCCCTGCCTGCAGCAGGAAGCTGCCCCCTGCTCCACCCCACAGAGCCCCACCGCCCGCCACAGACCTGCACCCCGAACACGCCGCGCTGCTTCCTGGGCGCGCCGCCACGTGTGGATCTCCCGCGCAGGGCGCCTTTCACACAGCAAAGACCAATCAGGGCAGGGCACGGCGCCAGGCTCCGCCCCCTGACGGCAGGGCGGAAGGAGCGGTCCTGCCCACCTGGGACCCGGTGGCCGCGGGTTCGAGTCCTGCGGGTGGGAGAAGACCGGCACGGGTCGTAGGGCCCGTTCTGGGGGCTCCCCCCATCCTCCTTGTCCACCCACCCCGCTGGGGGTGCTGGGGACCGCAGTCAGCTCCGTGGCACGGTGCGAGCAGCAGGGCACCCCAACAGGGTGCAGCATCTGCAGCAGGGCACCCCAACAGGGTGCATCATCGGCACCAGGGCACCCCAACAGGGTGCAGCATCTGCAGCAGGGCACCCCAACAGGGTGCATCATCGGCACCAGAGCACCCCAACAGGGTGCATCATTGGCAGCAGGGCACCCCAACAGGGTGCAGCATCTGCAGCAGGGCACCCCAACAGGGTGCATCATCGGCACCAGGGCACCCCAACAGCGTGCACATCTGCAGCAGGGCACCCCAACAGGGTGCAGCATCTGCAGCAGGGCACCCCAACAGGGTGCATCATTGGCAGCAGGGCACCCCAACAGCGTGCACATCTGCAGCAGGGCACCCCAACAGGGTGCAGCATCTGCAGCAGGGCACCCCAACGGCGTGCACATCTGCAGCAGGGCACCCGAACAGGGTGCAGCATCTGCAGCAGGGCACCCCAACAGGGTGCATCATTGGCAGCAGGGCACCCCAACAGCGTGCAGCATCTGCAGCAGGGCACCCCAACAGCGTGCAGCATCTGCAGCAGGACACCTGTCCTGGGTTCAGCAGTAGCAGTCATGTTTCTCCTCCTTGGTAGCTGGTGCAATGCAGTGTTTTGACTTTCGGCTTGGGAACAGAGCTGATAACAAGGATGTTTTGGTTTGGCCAAGGACTTTGTGAGCCTCATGCTCTGCCAGGGAGGAGGGGAAGCCAGGAGGAAGCAGAGACAGGACACCTGACCCAAACTGACCAAAGAGGTATCCCATACCACAGCACATCATGCCTAGGATGTAACGGGGAGTTAGCCGGAAGGGCTGGGAGACTGCAGGGTTGGAGGAGGTATCGGTCGGAGCTTGGTCGGGCTGGGGGGGCGAGTTATCGGTCAGCTGGTGCTGAGGTGTTGTATTCTCTTCCCTGGTTATTTCCTGTATCATTGTTATTATTGGTGGCAGCAGTAGTGATCTGTGTTATACCTTAGTTACTAAACTGTTCTTATCTCAACCCGTGGGAGTTGCATTCTTTTCGATTCTCCTCTCCGTCCCTCCGGGAGTAGGGGGAGGGAAAGAAGAGGGGGAGTGAGTGAACAAGTTACCTGGCTGGGTTTAAACCACGACAGCACCCCAACACAGTGCATCATCTGCAGCAGGGCACCCCAACAGGGTGCATCATCGGTACCAGGGCACCCCAACAGGGTGCATCATCTGCAGCTGGAAGAGAACATCCCTTTGCGTTCCCTGCGGACAACCCTGAATGCCCCTCACCATGGACACCCCTCTTCAGGGTTGGACACAGGTCAGTGACCGACCCGGTGGCTACATTGAACCCCCCCTGGGTTAGGCACACAAAGTGCTGCCAGGGTGAGGCACAGCACAAGTCCAGGCTCTGATTGATATTAAATTGTCTTTATTACACAGATACAGAGTTAAGAACAGACATAACCTGAATCATAAAGTTTACATCTTTCACAGGTCAAACATACAGTACACTTAAGAGAAAGCGGGAAACAGCAAAGGGGTGGGGGGGGGGGACAGCATGCCGAAGGAAAGTCCTACCACGTCATCTCTCTGGGCTGGCCCCCAAGCCCCCCAAAACCCTCCCAAACCCCCCAAAACCCATGTGTCGGGGCTGGTTTCCAGCCCCCTGTCACCCCCCATGCCCCGGTATCCCCATCCCCAGGGCTGGCAGGGTCACACAGGCAGGGCATGGGAGCAGGAAAGCCTTGAGTAAGGGGGGATGGTGGCACAGCACCTCCCTCCTGGGGCTATGGCATTCAGTGGCATCAGAGGATCCCCTGGGAATGCCACCAAGGCACCCAGGTCCTGGGACCTGGTCCGCAGTGCCTGGGACCTAGTAACAACGTGGCATCTTGTTCCCAACCTCAAACCCACCAGGAGCCAGAGTGTCACCCCGAGGAGAAGAGAGGACCCCGGTGGGCCCTAGAGGAGAAGGGCACGGAGAAGCTGCAGGGGGTTATAGGGGGCTCTGGGAGTGATGGAGCAGAGCCCAGGCAGGCGTGGGACCCTGCTCCAGGGTGCCCAGGCTCACCAGGATGCGGCACTTTGGTTTCAGTGGGACGTCAGGTTGGGAACGCGAGGAAGGAGCTGGAGAGACCCTCGCGTACTGGATCCACCTCCTCCAGCACAGTGCCGCACCCAGCATCCTGGGGTCTGCCTCCCCATGAGGACCAGGACCTCTATCCCCACACCACCAACACTGTCCCCAAGCTGCGATGGCGGGGAGGAAACCAAGAAGGGGATCTATGGGTGGCCATGCGTCCATGATCCAGCAGAGGACTATGCCCAGCCACCTCAACCCCCGTGTCCCCGAACTGCCCCACAGCCACCGGGGTGTCCCTATTCCCAGCTATGCTCATCCCTCTACCATCTCCCATAGCACATAAAACCACCAAAGAACATGGCTTGGGCATGGCACAGGGCACACATCCCCTGGCCCCCCACATGCCCCAACACCATTTTGGAGTAAAACCCCACAGAAGCTCTGGCCAGCACCTCCCCAGCTCACATCACTGCGAGGGATGTGGCTAAAAACTAACGTTTTTGGGAAATATTACACTTTAAAGCTGTCGCTCTGGTTTGGACATCTGCTAGCGCCGCCCGTCACTGCCCATCCCATCCCTCCCTCGGCTTTTGGTTTCAATGCAAGGTTCTGTTGGGTAATTTTGTCACTGAAAAAACAACAAAAGAAGGAAATAATAAGTAAGGAAAAGAAACGGAAGCAAACCAGAAGGGGGTGGAAACGAGAGCATTCCCATGGAAATTCCCTATGGAAATGCTCTCGTCCACGGTTTCCCGGTGAGGCGGAGGTAGAGAGGCAGAGCCCCGGCGCGGGGCTGGGGACACATGGGGATACGCAGGGGCACGTGTGGTGGGAAGGGCAGGGATGGGATGGACACCCGGGAGAGCAGGTGGCCTCGCAGCAGGCGCATCTGCAGAACTCTTATATATTACCTCTTCTCAGGAAACGTAAGAAAAATAGACAATATTACATATGTCACACCATAAATAAAGTGAACAGTCACTCGAGGGGGGGGCAACCCGGGAGAGCTCCCAGCCTTGGGGTGCACAGAATCCCCTCTGGAGGGATACGCCGAGACCTTGGTGTGCACAGAAACCCCCCGGGGGGATGCACCAAGGTCTTGGGGTGCACAGAAACCCCCTGAGGGGATGAACTGGGACCCTGGAGTACACAGAAATCACCCCAGGGGATGCACTGAGACCTTGGGGTGCACAGAAACCCCGTGGGGTATGCACCAAGGTCTCAGGGTGCACAGAAACCACCCCATAGGGAACGCACTGAAACCTTGGGGTGCACAGAAACCCACAGCAGGGCTCGGTGCTGGTTACACAGGTCCAAGAACATCACCTCGGTGGTGTCCCGTGCACCAAGCTCTGCGGCAGTGGCACGGCACGGGCCCCTGGGTGACTGATAACACAACAGACCCGGCCCCGAGCCCTTCCCTCCTCCTCCTCCCCTACAGAAAACACACAGGATGGTTTTGCAAATGCGGAACAATTACATCTCCTATGGAGCACACGACTGCTGCTCGCCTACATCCAGCCTCGCTCCCCCCCACCGCGGCCTCCAGCGCGTTCTCATCATCCTTCGTTTGGCAAATGTCTCTTATTATTATCGCTATCGTCATTATTATCGTTACTATCAGCATCTTTTTGGACCTCTGCAAAACACTATTTACATTCACATTAGCATACAGCACTCCTGCCCCGCGTGGGGCTTCCCTCCTCTCGGAGCCGGGCGACTTTCCGTATTGCACTCCCGTCCTCTGCGCTTTGTACAACGGTGCAAGAAGCACACAACAACCGGCATCGTCCTTGGCTGCCTCCTCGGCCGGGAAGGAGGTGATGCTTGCTTTCCTTTCCTTTCCTTCTTCCTCTTCCAAATCCACGTGAAACAAATCCAATGCGGGGTGTGGGAGCAGCCTGTCAGAATAGGGCTGGAGGGGGGGGTCCGGCTGCCGGCTTCGGGAAGGGAGAACACCAAAATCTGTCGTTTAATCTCTGTTTTTAACTCTCTTTTTCCATGGCGGCGGCGGGCAGAGGTAGAGATGTGCCAGCTCCGGCTGCGGTTCTCAGCCACCGTCTCCCCCTCCTGCAGCTCGGGGACTTCGATTTGCTTGGAAAACACCCATTTTTTGCTTTATTGGAATGGAAACCCAGGGGCGCATCCATCCGGCCTTGCGGGGAGGGAAGGGAGCGACGACAGAACGGAACGAACTTTGGCAGTGGAGAGACGTTTGGATCTTCCTTGGTTTTGGATTTCCTTTGGAGCAGAGGTGAGTCTGGTCTGTTCTTGGCTAGCTAGCAAGGTAGTTACAGGTGAGCGTCCGTCGCGCGGCTTGACTTGGCGTCGTCTGGTTTTTGGATTTTTCTCTTTTTTTTTTCTTTTTTTTTCTTTTTTTTATTCCTTTTTTACAATTTCTTACTTAAAGCCAAAGAGTTCGATGTTTTCTTTTTTATTTCTTTATTTTTTTTTTTACAAAAAAAAAAAAAAGGGGAAAAAATTAAGAGAGAGATGAAGAAAAGAAGTTTCTTTCCTTCTGCAAGCGAGCCCCTTGGCAGTGCCAGTATGGGCCAGAACCAAGCTGGCCTCTCCCCATGTCACTCCATGGCGAGGCTGCAGCCACATCCCTCATCCAGAAAGCAAAAAATAGGACAAACCCCCTCCCCAAAAAAACCCAAAAAATACCCAAACCACAATCCCTCAACTGATAGAAAACCAACCAAGAAAAAAAAGAAGCCAAAACTAAGACTGAAGAGAGAACAGAGAAGACCGGTATTTGCCTTAACTCCACTTAAAGCCCAGTTTGAGGATCCGTGAGGATTATTTGTGAAGAGCTAGAGAGGTCGTTTCGGAGGTCACACGAGTCAGGTAGCTGAGGAGATTGCATCGAGTGCAGTCCGTGTCTCTTGGAGAGCGGTGGCAGCAGCGTTGGTCCCAGCCTGGCTCAGCGGGACGCGCTCTCCACCGGAGCCGGGGTGGCCGGCGTGCCGGCGCGGGACGCGGACACCGAGCCCGTCTCGCTGGGGCTGCTGGCGATGGTGGCCACCCCGTCGGGCTGCCCCGGGCCCGGTGGCAGCCCCACACCGGCGCTGGGGGCAGCGGGGGCCGGCAGCCCCTGCAGAGTCTGCCCGCAGACGTGGTGGTGCTTCTCCCAATCCTTGTGCTGGCAGAAGGAGCCGCAGTAGCGGGCGGTGTTGCAGCCACTGCAGGTCTCGCTTGCTTTGCGCCCGCAGTTCCAGCAGCTCTGCGGGGATGCAGAGTTAAACCTCAGACCTGGATTGTGCACCCGCATCCCAGACCATGCACCCCATCATGGACCATGTGTATGCGTCCTGGACCATCACAGCATCCCCATCCTGGACCATGCACCCCATCATGGACCATGTATCCACATCCCAGACTATGCATCCCCATCCGCAACCATGTATCTGCATTCCAGACAATGCACATCACTGTGGCCTGCGCATCCCTGTCCGGGACTACACACTCCATCGTGGACCATGCACCCACATCCCAGACCGCGCATCCTCATCCTGGACCATATATATCATCCTGGACTATGCATCTACATCCCAGATCATACACATCATCCTGGACCGTGCACCTCCACCCCGGACCATAAATATCATCCCAGCCTGCGCATCCCCATGCTGGACCACACATCCCCATCCTCAACCATACACCTCATCCTGAGCCATGCATCTGCATCCCAGACAATGTATGTCATCCTGTCCTACGTATCCCCATCCTAGACCATGCATCTACATCCCAGACCCCACACATCATCCTGGACCGTGCATCCTCAGCCTGGACCATGCATCCCACCACGTGGTGTTGCTGAAGCCCCCCAGTACCCACGCTTGCATGCAGAGATGCTGCAGAACCTGACTGCAGAAGGACCACATCCTATACGCCCGTGCTGCCACCAACCCTGTCCCCCCCAGCTCTCCCCTGCCAGCCCCCACCTCGCTGGAGTCCTCCTGCTGATTGATGACAGTGAGGGCATCCTCGGAAGCCTGGCGCTTGGCCTCGGCCAGGGCTCGCTCCATCTTGGCTCGCTCCGTTGTGATCAGCTCGTGGGCTTTCCGCTCGGCGTCCGACACAGCCTTCTGCAGCTCCGACATGGCCTGGCGCTTCACCTCGTTCACGGCTTCTTCTGGAAGGAAGGGAGCTGAGCATGGCATGGGGTGTGCGGCCACCCCAGCCCCTGCTCTGCGGTCCTCCTCTGCGGCAGTGCCATGGGGGGGCTGCAAGCATCTGCTCCCCACTGCAAACCCACCTCAAACCCTTCCAGTACCACAGGCACCCAAGCAGAGCGCAGGGAGGGGATGGGGCAGAGACCCTACTGGCTTGGCACACTGATGGATGCTGCTGCCTGCCCTGCACTCACCAGCCTTCCTCCAGATCTCCTCCGGCATGTACCCAGAGAGGGGCCGAGGTGTGAACTCCCGGTGAGCATCTGCAAAAGAGAAGAGGCGATGCCATGAGGAGATGCTGTCCTCCGCAAACCCACCCTCCAGCAGCACCGGACCCCCAGAGGAACAGCACCGGCACCCCAGAGAGGGGCACAATCCCCCTGAACGCACCCCATGGCCCCGGGGGTCAATACCTAACTGGGGTGCCTCGGAGGCGGAGGAGCTGTTGTGGGGCCGGGCAGAGGGGGGGCTGCCCTTCTTCATGTCCTCGGCATCGCTGTAGCGCCGGATCCAGTGGTTGAGCTCCTCGCGGTCGGCCTCCTGGCACCGCCGCAGCACCGTCAGCGACCGGCGCGTCTTCTCCACCATGTCCATGATGCAGTTCAGCAGCTGGGGGGAGAAAGAAACGTCAAGGTGTGTGGGGGTTCTGCTGCATGCAGCTGGAGGGGCTGCGGTGCATAGCACAGGAGTGGGGGATTCAGGCTACGCCAGGCTGTGCCAGGGCTGGGTACCACTCTGGCTGCAGAGAGCAGAGGATGCACAGGAGCAAAGCCCAAGAGGGAACACGGTGGGGATGGAGGGCAAAGCAGGGGGAGGCAAAGCACACCCATGTGGGATGATATAGGATGTGGGGAAAGTGGGCATTACATACATTGTTGAGGTGTTTCCACTCCTCTGCCCATTCCCGGTCAGTTAGCCTGTGGTCGATCACCTCCTCCTGCCGTGCCCCATGCACTGCTGCAAGGCAAACAAGGTCAGACCCCGCAGCACCCATCTGTGCCTGGGGATCATGGGGGTCTCCAGCCCTTTGCCTGCTCCCTCAAGCCCTGGGGGATGCCAGCACTCACCGGCGGGCCGCTGGCGCTCGCGGGGGTCAGAGTGCCGGTAGACATCACGGTAGTGATGCGCCATGGCCATGTCCTCCAGGCGGTAGTGCTGGGGCAGCGGGGGAGCAGCCGGGGGGTGCCCCATTCCATTGGGAGGGTGGCTCAGCCCGTTGCTGGGGCTGTAGCGCTGCGCCGGGCTCATGGTGCACGGCCGCTTGCTGAGGTGCTCAGGGTGCAGAGGGTCTCGGTCCAAACCGTTCTCTTTGGTCCTGGGTGGAAAGGAGGAGGTTGGTCCCTGCCGGGCACCGGTGTCCCTGGGTAAACACCCAAAGCATCCCCCTGGCTGGTACCTGTCTGGCGTCCTCCTCTTGCCGCTCTCGCCCACCTCCAGGAGCAGCTCGGAGGAGTCGATGGGAGAGGAGGCATTGGCGTCCAGCAGCAGCTGCTCGTGCTGCGCCAGGTACTGGGCCGGGGTCTGCTTGGCCATGCGGGCGCAGTGCAGCAGCTCCCGCTGCAGCAGCGGCAGGTTGGCCTGCGAGGGGATGGAGAGTCTGGTCCATGGCACCGTAAATCCCCCCACAGCCCAGCACCCTGCTGCTCAGAGCCCCACGCTGCAGTGAATGGGGTCCTGAGCACCTTCCCCATTTGCTGCAGTGTGCCCGGACCAGCTGGGCTGCTGGGGGAACATATGTGGCACCCCAGAGGGTTCAGCCATGTGCTGACATGGGCACAGCTTCAACAGAACCCTCCTGCATCCTGGCAGGGCTGCAGAGCAGCATCTCCTACTCTATCCCCACAGCTTTCACCCTGGGGACCTGAGCACCCAGGCTGGGGAGCACCCAGCCCATCTGGCACCCATGGGACATGAGGACCAGCTATGAACTTGCATCCACCACGTCCCCCCCCAGCACTGCAGCCCCTGGGGGCAAGCAGAGCAGCAGGAATCCAGCAGCAGGGACCCTTTTTGCCTGGGCGCTCTGGCTGCCAGCTCCAGGTTTCTCTTTAGGCAGCTGATCCAGAGCCAAACCCCATCTGTGAGATCTGTTAGCGCCCAAGCCGGAGATGTTCGCTGCGGGAAGACCCTCCCCTTCCCTGGCCGGGGGAACAGCCCCACACAGAACCCAGCCAGCCCCAGTCTGGGAAGCACGCCGAGCCCGGCTGGTTGCAGTTAGGATAATGGGAAACATCTGGAGCCTGCGGTGGGAACAGCTGGGAGCAGGGTGCCAGGGCGGCCGCCGCGCGCTTGGCAGCGGGACAGCAGGAATGGATCCCAGCCTGCCCAGGGCTATGGGGCCACCAGTGCCCACAGGGACCCTGTGAGCCAGGGATGCACCATCCCCTGCTCCCGTAGACCCCTGCTCCCAGGCAGGAGGACAAAGGGAGTTCTGCTGCCCCCCGGCCACGTTTTGGCTCTGCTTTCCCTTGCCAGGAGCAAACGGCTCCGGCAGCACTGCAGGCAGATTCCTGCGGGATTCATGGACCTCTGCTATAGGGGGTGGTGGAAAAGGGGCTTTTTTTTTTGCTCTTTTTCATTATACTGAGGGACAGGACACTGGGGTTGAACATCTGCCAGCAGCGCCGGTGCTGCCAGGTGGCAGGGGCAGGGTGAGAGCACAGAGTCAGCATGGAATTAAAAGGCAAATACTAAAAAAGGGGATTTTTAATGAATTGCAAATGGTCACCAGCTGGGCTGAGCCCCTCGCTTCATTGCAAACAGCCCCGGCCTCGTGTAACTCCGCACGTGCAGAGAGATGGGTGTACAAGGGATGCCACACGTGTGCCCAGGGGGACATGGGCAGCCCCACAGCACCAGCCCGGGCCCCAAAGCCACCCACTGAACCCCCTTTACTGGTGATGCTAACCCCGGCATTCCCGCATCACCCAGACTTGGTCACCCACCTTGAGGAAGGGGATGACGAAGGGTCTCAGCGGGAAGTTGGTGGCCTCCTGGAGCTTGGCATGAAACTCCTCGATGGTGAGTGTGGAATTCTGCAGGGAGAGCCCAGGCTCAGCACCCCCTTGGAGCCCCCAGGGGGATGCTGTGCTATTTCTCCCTATTTATGCTCCTTTGCCATGCTTCAAGGGAAAACCACCCTCGAAGGAAAACCATTCTCCTGGCTTTCAGTGCCAGCAGCTGGGACCCAGCCCTGCCCCCTGCACTGTGCTGTGCAGATCCCAGGAGATGCTTTGCAGACAAACCCCATTTCTCCATGATTTAGGACCCTCTTTCCCCTTTAGCAGCATCCCCATCCCTAAAGGCAGCTGCAGGATCCCCTCACGGAGCATCACCCCAGTGCCGAACCCATGCGTGGGGGACGTACCACGAGCCCCAGGACGAGGGTGCGCACCCGCTCCCCGATCTCGGGGGAGATGTCGTTGCCAAACTGCTGCAGCGTGGTGAGGAAACGCTTGAGCTTGGAGAGCTGCCGGGCACCACAGGCTGGAGGGAGCTGGTGCGTGGACAGGGAGGCGGTGGAGGAGGTGGCCGGCCCGTTGCTGAACCCATTTGGGGTGGATGGGGCCCCGTTCATGGCAGTTGGTGAGTGGCTGCTCCCGTTCATCACTGTGGGAGAGAAGGGATGGGAGGTCAGAGAGGATGGCTATGCCTTGGCATCATGGGGATAAGGCTGGCATGGGGGGACCGGAGCATCCTGCTGGGTACCATGGGGGTGGCACACCCCTGGAGGCTCCGGGATGCTGCTGCATCCTTGAGGCCGCATCCTGGGCTGGTTCCTGGTGCTGTGAGGAGCTTTATAAAGGGATATATGCTGTAAGGATGCAGTGCATGCCCTAGCGCGGCGTGGGACTCATCCTACTCCTCAGTTCTCAAGGCAGCCAAGAGAAAGGGTGCTCAGCACCCTTCTGGAAGAAGCCACAAGCCATTTCCACAGACCCCAGCCTGGCTTGCAGCACGCTGGCACCTCCATCCCCACTGACCCAGCCGGGAGGACAGAAGCTGCCATCCCATGCCAGAGGCCGTCCCATTCCATGGCACGCTTCCCCATGCCAAGACACCCAGTGGGGCCACCTGGGGGTGCCCAGCGGCAGCGTGCCCGGCCCCTTGCTCTGTGCCAGCCCTCCATGCACACCCCACGAGCGCAGGGACCCCTTCCGCAGCCAGCACCGGCGCTGACACGCATCACCCCGCGTCCCGGCCACCTGAAGGCACCCAGGCATGCACCCCGCAGCTCCCGGGATCGCACTCACCTCGCGGTGCCGCGGTGCCCTGCCTGCCCCGGCGGGCTCCCGCGCGCTCTACGGCTCGGGCAGCGTCTGCCGCCCGCTAAAGAGGTGCCGAAAATAACCCCTTGGCCACAACTGCTTCTGTTCCCACGACAGGTGCGTTACTAAGTTAGACCCTGCACATGTCCGGGGTTCGCATCCCTGTGCCCTGCCAGGGGCTGCCGGGGGGGAGCACAGGCTGCCCAAGCCCCCCTGCAGCTCCCCGTGGTGGGGGGGGGCTGCGGCTGCGGCTCGGGTCTCTCATGAGAGCGGATGCTTCATTTTACTTACAAAGACAGACCATCGACCATTTCAAGCAACCATGAAAACGGCCGCGAGGCAGAAACGTCGGAGGGCCAGCGTCTCGATCTGCAAGCAAAATAAAACACGCTATGATGAGAGAGCAGAGGGGGCAGCTCTCGGACGGGGTCCCCGCAGGGAATACTCCTCGATGGTGGGTGAATGCATGCCATGGGATGGAGCCGGGTCCCTGCATCCCACCGCAGCCAGAGGGATGCTCTGCGCTTCGGGGGCAGCCCTGCACAGCCCCAGCACAGGGGGCTTCTCCCTGAGACGAAGAACAACCAAAACACCACTGAGCTTCGGGATGAGCTGCAGCGACGAGGCCGCGGGCATCTCTGTCCTTGCATCCTATGCCGAGCCGACCCCAGGATGCCACACCGGCCCCTGGGCTCGCATTAAACAGCAAAACCCCTCAGAGCACAAGCTGATTTCTAACTAGAGAGCATCAGGCTGGGATGGCAGCGGGGCCGTCACGGGGAGCACTGGGGTACGGCACTGGGGCTGCGCCTCTGGGGGTTGCTCTAAAGATGTTTTCTCCCTGCTGGGGTTTTAGGCTTGAAGCAGCTACAGCCTGATCTAGTGGGAGGTGTCCCTGTCCATGGCAGGGAATTGGAACCAGATGAGCTTTAAGGTCCTTTCCAACCCAAACCATTCCATGATCCTATGAGCAAAACCCTTGTGTGCGCATGCCCAGGATACGTCCCAGCAGAGCTGGAGGAACTGCTCACGATTGCCACCACCACTCCTGCCAAGGGACCAGCCTTGGTCCCTGCCAGCCTGGACCCTGCCCTGTGTGTGCCTTGTCCAGCCATGTGCCAGGACAGTGTCACCAGCACGGAGACCTTTCCTGATGCAAACGCTGTGGGCATCCAATCAGCCCACTTGCCACGGGTACAGCCAGCTTCTTGGGGCTCCCCCAGTTCGATGATGCTACAGAGACTGAGGAGTCAGGCTCTGTGTCCCCACTCAGGCCTTTGATGTCACCACGCCATTCCTGCCACTGCAGCTGGCCGGGACAGTGCCCTGCCATTGCTGGGTGCCACACGTGGACAGGACTCGCAACAGGACCAGCTCCAGCCCACAGCATCCTCCATCCATCTCTCTGCAGGAGAGAGCACCCAAGGCCACGCACTGCTCCGTGACAGGCAGGAGAGCAGGATGTCCCCACAGTGCCACTGTGCTCCCCACAGGCGCATGCATGAGCTGGGGTGTGCAGCCCAAAGACAGTCTCCAGTGCAAGGACGGGTCACGCCACCCCACAGCACAGCCAGCACCATGCAGATCCGAGGATGCTGCAGGCCCCGGATGCAGCGCATGACCTGGAGGCGAAGGGAGGCAAACCCCCCCTGCCTGGCATCACGTCCCCATCGCCATCCCGGGTACTCACTGGTGTTTGGTGTGAAGGACGGGTGCCGTGTGGCTCCCTGCGTGACGGCTGGCGGCGGCGGAGGCATGCTGGGCGGCGTGGACCTGGACTGCGTCTTCACATCGGCCGGCGAGTCGGGCATGGTGGCGGCCGGCGTCTCCGCGTTATCTGCAGGGACAGGACACAGGGGGGGTGAACGGGGGTCCCCGGCCGGCTTGGGGGCAGAAGGGACCCACGGGGACCGCAGGTTGGCCTGGGGGTCTCAGCTAAACAGTGCAGGATGGCAGCAATCCTTGCCCCGGGCACAGCTCGGGCAGTGGTGTCCTGTGTGCCTGCAGGCTGGTGGGGATGGTGATGGACCTCTGGTGCGTCCACACGACGGTGAGGATGGTGGCCTCTGCCCAGTGTGGATGCGCTGTGGTGGGGACAGGGCAAGACAGGGCTCTGCCGCTGCAGCACCGGCTCTGCCCCACTCGCAGGGCACAGAAGGAACGTGTGTGTCTGCAAAGCCATCACTGTCACACCCCGGCATGGTCCCGCCAGCGATTACCTGCCCACGTGTGGGGAATCCTCACTAACCCCTCACCATCCCGGGCAGCTGCACTCGGGGCTGCTGTAATCCCAGGCAGGGATTACGCACAGGCAGTAAATCATGGGCTCCCTATGGGAATGTGCCAACACCGTGCCCTCCGGATGGCCGGCGGCGGCACAAACCCAGTGCGGGGTCTCAGCCCAGGGTGATGGTGGTGGGATGGCCACAGGTGTGAGCACTTGTGGCACAGTGATCTGTGTGCCCAAAGCCATGCCACTGCTGACACCAGCCCCAGCCAAAGAAGGAAGAGGCCACCACGGCTGCCCCCTGGGTCCCCCCCGGTGCCCCGGCACGCTCCCCACCAGGCGAGGCTGATAAACACTAATCTAATATTCAGGCTTAATCCATTGCAACTGCTGTGAGATTAATTGAACCCTGTAAGAGCACATTGTCCTGGCTAAATAAAACCGGGGCCTCATCCCAGGCAAGATGCTATCAGGGCTTGTGCCGCAGCCAATGCCGCACACAGAGGAGTGGGAGATGGGAGAGCTGGGAGCAAGGGCCAAACTCTTGGGTGGTCAGCATTGTGGTCCCACAGTATCCTCCCAGTATGGGATCATCCCTCCCTGCCCACATCACACCAGAATCCTGCAGATGCTTGGATGTTCATGCTCCCGTTTCCCATTCCTTGCTCTCTTCTCCCACTCCAGCCACAGGAGAAACCCCAAGACCAAGCCGCATCCCTCCCTAACAGTTTCTTTACAAGGCCTGCCAAAATAAATGGTAAATTTTGAAAAAAACACCTTTTATTTCCCTTTTCATGGAAATGCCCATCTCTGGGCAAGGCTCTTCCAAGCCTTCCGGTTTTCCAGCCCTGACAGCAGAGGATGAGCCATGGTGCAGGGAGGCATTGCAAGATGCTCTCAACATCTACGAGGCTGCAGCCACCCCTGTGCTTAGCCTGAGGCTCTGGTTCTCCACACAAGAGCAGTGGGGCATGGGGACAAGCCGCAGCAGCTTGGGGACAGTGTGGCAGCTTGCCTAGGTGAGGGCACCTGAAGGAGCTCCAAGCACAGGTTTGACCCTGCTGCTGCTTGCAGGGAGGAGGAGGGTCCAGGCTGCAAGATGCTCACCCCTGCCTGCATCCTCATCTCTGCCCGCATCCCTGTTCCTATCTGCTTCCCTGGCATTGTCCCTGTCTGCATCCCTGTTCCCATCTGCATCCTTAGCAGCATCCCTGCCTGCATCTCCATTCTTGTCCCCCTTGCTGTCCTGATGCTGTACGCATGCCCACACTGAGAGGAAAACACAGATACACTCATTCTGGCATGCACATGGCTTTTCCACAGCTTCCTTCAGGAGGAAAGTTTCCACAAAGCCTGGCTGTGTTTTCTCTCCTATTTTCCTTAATTTTCCTCTGAATCCTAAATTTTCCCTGAGGTGTTCTCAGTCCAAACACCACCACGAAGGCATGGGGTGAGGAATGCCCCCAAATCTGATGGATTTTCCAAATGCCCAAAGCAAACAGAACCTGGGATACCCACAGGATCTGGCCACCAACCCAGAACCTTTGTAGGATGGGGCGAGCTCTGTGGTGGATGAGGGGGGGTTTAGGGGCACAGTGCAGCCTCCCAGCAGCACCTCCAAACAATAATTCCCCAACACGACTCAAACCTCACTGGAATTTCTTTTTCCTTCTCCTCTTTTTTTTTCCCCCTCTTTTTTTCTTCTCTTTCTTTGGGGTAATTTGTCCCAGCCGCTCGGGGCTGTGTCTGTTTTCCTCCATCTGGTTTCCATTAGGCCTGTGCAGCCCAGATGAATAAGTAATAATATAAGACTAAAAGGATTAGTATTCTCTCCTTGGCTGGTGGGAGTGGTGTCCCCCACCCTGCCTCCAGGGGCCAGCGGATGCTGGACTCCACACACCCCCGTGTGACCCTGAGCCCCCCATTTGTCACCCCGCAGGGTTTAACCCCACACACACTGGCCTGGGCATGGTCACTGCTGCGGTGGCTGATGGAGCCTTGGCTTGCCCATAGCACCCAACCCCATACTGCCCCAGCAGGGTTGCAGGGCTCAGGGTGTGCGACCCCACTGGGCACAGGCAACCCCTGAATCCCAGACTCACAGACTGGTTTGGGTTGGAAGGGACCTTAAAGCTCACCCATCTCCAGCCCCTGCCACGGGCAGGGACCCCTTCCACTAGACCAGGTTGCTCCAAGCCCCTGTGTCCAACCTGGCCTTGAACACTGCCAGGGATGGGGCAGCCACAGCTTCTCTGGGCACCCTGTGCCAGCGCCTCAGCACCCTCACAGGGAAGAGCTTCCTTATATCCAACCTGAACATCCCCTGTTTCAGTTTGAACCCATCACCCCTTGTCCTGTCACTACAGTCCCTGATGAAGAGTCCCTCTCCAGCATCCTTGTAGCCCCTTTCAGATACTGGAAGGCTGCTATAAGGGTGTCTGCTTGTCCGTGTGCTCCTCAGTGCTGGATGCTGAAAAGCACCAACACATGGCACTGTGCAGTTATGCACACCAGCAGGCACCAATGCACAGCATCACATGGCTGCAGGCTGTGCAACAGACCAGGACACCAACACACGACCAGGCTCCCTGTCCCACCCCAGGCAGCCTTGGGCAGGAGACAGGGATGTGCCAGCCCTAGGAGAAGTCTGATGACTGTGGAGCACCCGGGCTGGCTGCTCTTCTCTCCATCTCAATGATGGGGATGGAGAGGGCAAGGAACTGCCCTGACTGTGGCCATCGGAAAGCTCTAGCTTCCTGCAGCCCTCCCCTGCCAGGCCAGGTGAAGCTTCCTGGGTGAGGAGAGGGTTAAAAGGGAATTAAAAGACCAGCATCCTTCATGCTCTCCAAATGGCCACAAATGAAATCCAGATGCTGGAGGCGACGTCTCCTGAAGCCAGGCTGCCTCCGAAACAAAGGCAGGCAAGCATTCCTGCTCCTCAGCTGCTGCTGCCACGGGGGCCAAGAACAACTCCCTGATAAGATGGCGAGGGACCCAGCTATCCCAGCTGGAGCATGTTAGGGAAGCGTGCGGTGCTGGCGAACAGGCAGCAGCACCGGCCACGTGCATGAGCCCGGTAGAGGTGGTGGGAGCTGCAGGACACCGTCATCTCCCTCCTCATCCTGATCCACTCCCCAGGGATGCAGTGATGATAAGGGTAGGTGACAGCAGGCTCATCCCCGATTACTTGCAGAGGGACTGCGAGCAGGACAGCACTGTGGGATGCAGGAGGGACGTTCCCAATCTGGCAGCTACCAGGGACCCATCACCAGGGTGTCCCCTATACATATTCTGGGGAGCCAGGCTAGTAGAGAAAAGCCTCAGCACGTGTCAGCAAAAATGAAGCCTTTGAAAAGGAAATCCAATTAATTAAACCCTCTGCACAAGATGTAAATGAACTTGCGTTTGGCCAGCTCAAGGCACAGGGAGCTGTTGTTGCTGTGAGGGTGATGGGACATGGATGTGCCCAGCGGTGCCAGCGCCACGCTGGCAGCAGGACCACACTGTGCTCAGGTACCTCTGCACTCAGCCCTGCCAGGCTGCTGCCTGCACTCCTGCCTGCAGGCAGTGATGCTCAAAGGGATGCCCATGCCTCAGGTGGCATAGCTCTTGGGGTGCCCTGCTCCTCCAGCCAGGGGGATGGTGACAGCCTGGCCCAGCGCAGGTGACAGCACCAAGCCAACCGCCCCACAAGTTTGGGCATTGCCCCTCTGGTTTAGTCTGGCTGCTCAGCTGAACAGGACCTGCCCTGCCACTCCTGCACCACCACAGCAGCCCTCTGCAGTAGCTGGTGAACCAGCCTTTGTTTCTGCCATCCTCACCATGCTCAGGGGCATCCTGGAATGGGTCCCACGTCACTGGCCCAGGTTGGGATGCTCCCCACCCACAGTACTGGGAGGAAAGTGGGTTTCACCATAGAATCATATAGTCATGGAATACCAGGGTTCAAGGGACCTCAAGCACCATCTAGTCCAACCTTTCATCCTGATTCGCTTTGCTTTCCCTGCAGTCCCTCTGGGACAGCATCCCAGTACATCCAGCCCTGCTGGGGGAAGCACCATGGGCAACGCTCCTCACTCAACTCCAGGGCAGCAACAGCCAGCAGGGATCCTGCTGCCTGGTCCCCTTCCATCTCCCCCATTGTGGCAGTGACAGCACAGCTCCATGTGGGACACTGACACAGGACCAGGCTCCCTGATGTGCCCGGAGCCCAACAAACCCCATTTCTCAAGCCACAACAAGCCAGTCAAAGACCCAAACCTGCTGCCTTGCTCGGTGCTGGCAGTGCCAGCCAGCTCTCATCCCGTGCTGGCATGGCCAGGGTGGATAGGAATGGCTTTGATTTTCCTCGAAACAACAACAACAACAAAAGCCAAAAAGCCCTCTCTGTTTTACAAGCCTTCATTTGCTATTGTTTATGTAAACAGGTAAATTGTTTCGTATCTCAATTAAAAACATCTGCCACATAAATGAATACCAATTAACTCATCCTGTTTTTAATTACTCTGTTAATTACACACAGGCAGCAAAAAGGATGGCAGGGGAATAGGGAGAGCATGCTTACAACCCCCCCTTCCCACCTTGCTCTTGGCAAGGATCCGAAATGTGCCCAGATAATGATGGATTAAGGTGGGTGGTGGATACCGTGGCTTGTGGCCAGCTCTGGCGTGGCAGCTTCTTCCTGGCTGGCCCGGGTGCTGGCGGGGCGCCTTGCAGGGGTATTTCCCAGCACCCTCCCAAGAGATGCCCTGTTTCGGAAACCCCGGGTCCCATGGGACACCCCAACACCACCTGCATCATCCCCCGTGCTGGCAGCAACTGCCACACAACCTGGCTGTTTTTCCCAGCGTCAGACCCATGTCTGCTCTCAGAACGCGCCCCAGGGGAGAGAAACCTCGGGATGCTGCGTGGGGAGGGCGGGAGGATGGAGGAGGCTTCACACGAGCAGCATCCTCATGGACCAAGCGCATCCTTGAGGTGCCCCTGGGAGCCCTCCCGCTGCCGAGGGTCAGCAGCTCTGCATGGGCACAGCAGCACGGGGTGGATGACACCCTCGAGCGGGGCCAGCAGCAATCACCGAGGGACCCTGGGCGCCGCCAGCCCCTCGCCCCCCCCCCCAGCTGCGGGAAGCTTTCCAAGCGAGCAGATGGGGCAGGGAAGCGGCGGCAGCGAGGGGGAGAGCAGAAAAGGCTATTTTCTCACGCTACATATTTTACAAGTTGAACATTTTGTGCATTTCAGCCTTGCCTTTAAAAGCATCTCGGGCTCAGCACCGGCACTTGACGTTGGAGCCTGTGAGTCAACAGCGGCCGGCGGCAGCGTGGCCTGCCAGCACAGAGAGGGGACGGGAAGCGAGGTCCCCCCGCCATGGAAAGGGCCAGGCTCGGGGGCTTCCCCTAACCCACTGGTGCTGCAGGAGCTGCAGCATGGCCAATGCCCCCCACCAAGCCCGAAGTTGGAGCACAGCATCTGCTGCAAAATGCTGCCTGCAATGTCCTGCCCCAGTGCCGCCGTCTGAGCTGTCCCACCAGCAGCTCCCGGTGCTGCCCGCACACCCTCCCTGCTCCCCAGCAGCCTCATGATCCTGGATATTGAAGAAACACCATGAATAAGCAGTGCCAGGGCCAGCCTGGCACAACTGCAGGCATGCGGGCAGCTCAGGGGTGAGGCTGACCCCACCAGCAACTCCATCAGTTGCCCCTCTGCCTGGGAAACATCCGTGTCTCACTGCAAACCCCCTCCCTGGTGCAAGGGCTATGGATCCATCAATCCCTGCACAGCATGGCTGTGCTGGAACAGCAACTGGTCCAACAACACATTGCCAAAGGGGCACCCCAAACCAGACCCATGTCCCTTTGGGTGCTCTTTGAGGGCAGTGAGAGGGGCTAAAATGCCCCAGACTGCAAGTTCTGCAGCCACCCCACCACATGCACAGGGATGCTTGTGCCCAAAGGCCGTCCTAAGGGCTGGAGTGGGGACAAGTGGCACAAGCGGCCAAGGGACTCTGGAGGCAGAAAGTGGCTGGGGAAGGGAAAACATCCTCCTGCACATGCCAGTGTCCGCAGGGAGCTCCCTGCGATGTCCCTGCAGTGTGGGAATGCCGAGGCACCGCCGGCTCCCCAGGGACCCCCGGCTGGATCCTGCCCTGCAGCTGCCAGGATGGTAACAGCTCCGAGGGGCGCCGAATCCATCCGTGCATCCCCACAGCCTCCGGGCTGCTGCGTTGCTGACTCTTTGTCTGTTTGTTAACCACGGGCTCCATTTCAAGGCGATTTTTACCCATGTGAGATTGAATCAAACATCACAGGGGAAAAAAAAAAAAATATCAATGAGAATTTTGCAAAATAAACAGGAAATCCCTTGGATGTTTTCTGGAAACATTGGTCAGCATCTTCCGAAGGGAAGCTGTGTGCTCGTCAAGGTGGGGTTGCCCCTACGGAGCCTGAGCACGCTGGGAGGGAATGCGCAAAACAAGCTTCAGGATGTCTAAAAATAACCCCCAGACTGGGCAATGGCACCAACGCCAGCAGAGCCTGGGCAGGGGGGTTTCCTCTGTGCCACCGGCATGGTCTCACCCCATGCCAGCCATCAGGAAGCTTCCAGCTTGGGGACCCCCCTTGACCTCAGCCTGGAGGGGGAGTTTAACGCTGCCCATGGTCCAGCTTAGAGAGCACGGGTCAGGGCTACAGCACCCGACCTGCATCCCCTCGACCCCAGCGGCAGCACTGAAGCCCAGCACCCGTGGGCTGTCCCTGCTCCCTCCCAGGGCTCAGGAAGCCCCGCTTGGCAGGATCAGGCCCTGATTTGCCCAAATCCTTGTGCCCACCACGGCTGTGTTGATCTGCCCGGAGGCAGAAGCAGTGTGGGTGTTGGTGGCAGGGCTGCTGTGTGTCCCCGGGGGACACTGCCACCTCCTTGGCTTGGCTCGGGCAGCCCTGCAATCCCTGCCTGGCTCACCAGCAACCCCCTGACCCCTGCCAAAGGAGATAACAACAGACATTTAGGGGATGCCTCTCCTCCCCGGCGGTCCCACAGCACCCCACATCCTTCCCCTGGGTAGGCGCGGGGCAGGGGATGCTGATCTGCCTCCAGACTGTGCCGGGATTTAACCCGGCTGCCGGCAGCGAGCGGAGCCGAGAGCTCCTTTCCATTGCAAAGCCGGACACCGCGCAGCCCAGATCCTGCCCGGGGTTTTCCACACGTGCAAACGTGGCTCAGAAGCAGAAATCCAGGGAAGGGACACAGGGGGCATCACCAGCTCTGAACCCCCACCTCGCACACTGGCTGCTGGCAGCATCCCGCCCCCCCAGCCATACACCCAGGCAGAGGCTGGGGGGCTGCTCGACCCTCCTAACCCAAAGCGGGGCTGAGCACCAGTGTCCGTACATCCTGCACCCTGCAAGTTTCCAACGTAAGAGGCAAAACCTGCACCCACACGAGGCCTCAAAGCTGCCCCCCAAACCCAGTGCCCACCACCCCGCACCACGGGAGAACAATCTCTCCCCCCCCCCCCCCCCCCCATCCACCTTGTCTTTTCCTCTCTACAGCCCAACATCTGTAATCACACGTTTTCAATCGAAACACTACCAACATCTGGCTGTCCCCAGGTAAAACCTTACCTGCCAGCACAGACAGCAACCGGGAGGCAGCAGGCAGAGAAAAACCCCCTTCGCACAGCCAAGTTCACGTCCACTTGCCTCCCCAACCACAGCACAAGCAACGCTCGAGATTCCTGCCTGTGTGGAAACGCTCTGCGCAGGGACCTGCCCTACACACCTCCGGAGCCCTGAGCGCCTGCCCTGCGCGGCAGCTCAGCCCCGTGGGGCTCCCACTCAAGGACCACGGGCAGCGGGGCTGTCAGCATCGTCCCTGGCTGCTGCTCCACGTTCACTGTGGAGTTTTGGGTTTGCTGCCCCGTATCTCCGTGCCCTGTGGCATAGCAGAGCTCACCCCTCTGCGGCGCCGGGCAGACGGATGTTTGCAGAGAGTCTTCAAGTCTCTCGACAAAGGAGCGGAGAATTAATATTCCTTTTAATTAAAGGCACCAAAATGTCTTTGTTCCTGAACAGAGAGAAAACAACAGAGGGAAGAGCTCAAAAGCTCCTTTTAAGCTAGAGACGAGACCATCGCTAGATTCAAAGACACTGTCAACGTGCACGTGACCTCAAATTAAAACAACCCAAAATGAAACCCAGCGGCGGCGGCTCCTCTCCGAAAGAGAAGGGAAGTTGCGAAGTTTTCCTTGGCTAATAGGGGAAAAAGGGGAAAAAAATCCAACAAAAGGTGCGTTCAACCAGAGGAGCGCCCTGCAGAATCCGAAGGCACCATCCAGTGGCAAGGGGAGTGATGGGGATTGCTGGCTGTGCCCCGGCCCAGCATCACGGAGGAGCCCGGGCGGAGAGCGGTGCCAGCCTTGCTCCATCCCTACACAGACAGCATTCCCTCGGCAAAGCCAGGCTGGAGCGAGCGGCGCAGTGCCAGCCAGCGCTGCTTAATGCAATTCTGATGGGAAAGCGAGAGCCGGACGGCGATTAATGGCTGCGAGGATCGGAAGCAGAGAGCTGGATCCCTTCCTCCCCAAATCCGCGTCCAACAAGCTGTCCCCTGTCACACGAGAGGACACCGCGCGTGTCCCCTGCACAGACCCGTGTCCTCGCACGTAAGCACAGAATTACTCTGCCGTAGCTGTAACTTCACAAACCAGCCCCGGGTTTCCTCCCACAGACTCTCCCGAGTGGATCAGCTCCTCCTCGCCACGAAACGTGGCTCCATCTCTCCATCGCCGGCGGCAGGAGCGGGATATGGAGCCGGAGGGTTGGTGGTCCCAGGAGGAGGGATACAGGGATAAAAACCACATCTCCCGCCGGGCAGAAGCGGGGACCCACGGCCGGGGGAGGGTTTACTGCAGGGGGACACACGCACGCACAGACTCCCGTGGGTCCGGCCGTGCTGGGCCGCCCCGGCTCCGGGAAAGCTCCTGCCGGGTACGGGAAGGGGAACGGTGACCGCTGCACAGACAGCGGGCCCATGCCCGCCTCCTCCCTCCTTGCTCTGCCCGGCGTCCCGGGAGCGGCCGAGCGTGGGGATGGAGAGACCGCGGCGGTGGGGATCGCGCTGGCTCCGGCACCGGGAGCATCCCCGTGCCCGGCGCGCCGAGAGCACCCCTGACACTGTGAGAACCCCGCGGGCACCGGGAGCTTCCTCGACTCCTGCGCACCCGGCAGCCTCCCCCGGGAGCAGCCCCGACACCGCACCAGGAATCCCCCGGGCACCAGGAGCATTCTCAGCCCCTCTTCCCTGCGAGCATCCCCTCCCTGGCACCGGGAGCCTCCGACTCCCCTGCGCACCGCGAGCATTCCCAGCCCCTCTTCCCCGGGTGCGTTCCCGGGCACCGGGCGCCTCCCGGTCCCCGCTGCCGGCCGCGGACGGCACTTACCGTCCTGAGCTGTGGCGGAGGCGTGAGGTAAGTCCCAAGGCAGGAGCCGACAGGACCGGCCAGAGCCGGCAGCGGCCCCCCGCCGGCGGCGGCCCCGGCCCGCTTAAGGCCGGCGCGGGCGGAGCGCGGCCCCGCGGCGGCGGCTGCCCCCGGCACCTGCCCTCCGCCGCCGCTCGCCGCGCCCGGGGCCGCCGGGGGCCGCCAGCCCGGGGGTCGGGGCGCTTCCACCCTCCCCCGGAGGGGGGGCACCGGAGGGAGGAGCGGGCGGAGGAGCCGGTAAATCCGCGGGGCCGGTTCACCCCCTGCACGCTGCCCGGCGGCGCATCCTCCGGCGCCGCGTCGCGGCCATGGGGCGCCCGCGGCCGCGCTCCGTGCCGGGCCGGGCCCCCGCAGCGCCCGCCGCTGCCGCCGCGCCGCCCGCCCGCCCCGGAGTGAGCGCCGCCCGCCCGCGCCGATGCCTTAGACGGCGCCGACACCGAGCCCGGCAGGGGGCGCTCCGCCGCCGCCGCCACCGGAGAGGGGCCCCCCCGCCTACCCCGGGGGAGGGGGACAGGGATGAGAGGGGCTGAACGGAGAAATGAGGGGTGACCGGGGATATGGGGGTGCACGGGGATATGGGGGGTGCAGGGGGACATGGGGGTGCACGGGGATGCACGGGGATATGGGGGGTGCACGGGGATATGGGGGTGCACGGGGATATGGGGGGTGCAGGGGGACATGGGGGGTGCACGGGGATATGGGGGTGCACGGGGATATGGGAGGTGCAGGGGGACATGGGGGTGCACGGGGATGCACGGGGATATGGGGGGTGCACGGGGATATGGGGGTGCACGGGGATGCACGGGGATATGGGGGGTGCACGGGGATATGGGGGAGCTGCATGGCACCGGGGGGCTGAACGGAGAAATGAGGGGTGCACGGGGATATGGGAGGTGCACGGGGATATGGGGGGTGCACGGGGATATGGGGGGTGACCGGGGATATGGGGGGTGCAGGGGGACATGGGGGGTGCACGGGGATATGGGGACCTCAACGGAGACATGGGGGAGCTGCATGGCACCGAGGGGCTGAACGGAGAAATGGGGGGTGCACGGGGATATGGGGGTGTACAGGGATATGGGGGGTGCACGGGGATATGGGGGGGGTACGGGGATATGGGGGGTGCACGGGGATATGGAGGGTGCACAGAGACATGGGGGGTGCACGGGGATATGGGGGGTGCATGGGGATATGGGGGGTGCACGGGGATATGGGGACCTCAACGGAGACATGGGGGAGCTGCATGGCACCGGGGGGCTGAATGGAGAAATGGGGGGGTGCACGGGGATATGGGGGGTTCACAGGGATATGGGGGGTGCACGGGGATATGGGGACCTCAACGGAGACATGGGGGGCTGCTTGGCACCGGGGGGCTGAACGGAGAAATGGGGGGTTCACGGGGATATGGGGGGTGTACAGGGATAAGGGGACTTCAACGGAGACATGGGGGCTGCATGGCACCAGGGGCTAAATGGAGACACAGGGAGCTGTAGAGCACCGAAGGGCTGCACGGGGTTATGGGGTCCCAAACAGAGACATGGAGGGATGCACTGGGTTATGGGGGCCTGCACGAGGATATGGGGGAGCTGCACAGCACCGGGGAGGCTGTGCAGAACCGAGGTTCTACACAGAGAAATGGGGGGCTGCATGCCACAGCGGGTCTCCATAGGAACAATGAGGGGCTGCACAGCCCCAAGGACTCCATGGGCATACGGGGGGCTCCCCGGCACAGGAGGGGCTGCACGGGGCTTAGGGAGCGGCACAAGGACTGGGAGCAGCAGCCTGGGGACCAGAGGACGGTGCTGGGGGTGTATGGGGCTTGGGGGCTGCAGGAAGGTGGGAATTGCAGGGGGTTCAGCGTTCACAGGGGGTTGTGGGTGCTGAAGAATGGGGGTCAGAGGGCTGCAAGGGACCGGGTGTTGCTTGCATGGGATGAGGGGTTCTGCGAGGGAATGGGGCCAGGGCTTGTCTGGGGCCGTGGGAACAGTCAGGGGGATGGAGCTGGGACTGTCCCAGTCTGAAGTGAGGTGTGTGGGGGGCTGTGTGTGGGGGCTGCAGGCTGTGGCTGCTCTGCTTCTGTCAATGCAAGCAATAGCAGCAACCACATGCGCAGTCACAAACCCCACAGCCCTCAACAGCCACCATGCCCGTCCCTGCCAGGCCTCGGGGTGCCCTCCACCCTGCTTGGCCTCACTGGGGCTCCTTGGGGTGGCTGCGTGGCTCTGGCACCACAGGAATGCCAGCGGAGCCCTTCCTCTACAGCAGCGCAGGGCAATGGTGCAGGCACTCAGAGCACTGCTGCTTTCACCCGGTCGCAGCGTGCCCTTCCTGCGTGCCCCATACCCGATGGGGGGAACACCAAAAATCCCCCCCAAGCCCTACTACGGTGTTGTCGCTTTCTTGTGCGCCGGGTAACACAAGCCCTGCTAATTTCCCTGTGCTGAAGCCCTGCCTCTTTGCGTAATTACTCTGCTTGGCAGCTGCCTTCCCTCTGCGAGATGCTGCGCGGAGCCTTTGCCACCCGCATGGTTGGTTCTTGTATTGCTCATCCCTTCCTGCTTCCCAGGGCTGGGCGCTGGGGACCGCGGTGGCTCTGCCAGGCTGCAGCATGGCTGCGTGGTCATGCATTGGCACTGTGTGATCGCTGCATGGGCTCTGCACAGCCAATATCCCCCCGACTGCACCACCCTGACCCAGTGCTCCCGACCTCGCTCTGGACCATCCCAACCTCCAGCTCTCTTTCTGCATCCCTCATTCCCAGGGATATTTCCCTGCTGTTGCACTGCCTGTGCTGGGGGAGCATGAAGGTTTTGACAGCTCTTGTATCTACACCACTCAGCACTGCGTGTGTGTGCACTGGGCAGCATCACATACCCTGCACTTCTCACTGGGGCTCTCCCTGTTCCTGCTCTTCCCTTATTCCCTATGCCCTCATTCCTTATGGGACCCCTCTCAAGGAGCCTCTTGCAGGTGAGTTTCATTTGCAGAGGAAATCCACAAAAATTTGTGGAGGAAATTCCACAGTGGAGGAAAATCCACCCCATACACAGCTACACCAGCCCTGCTGTCCGCCCATAAAAATACCCCACAGGGCTCTGCTGGGATAAGCTGCAACATGCCCAGCTCCTGGTCAACTTGGGATGCAGTTGAAGGATGCTATCAAATACCTGCTGGCTTGGCACCATCTTGCCCCATGAGCAAAGGCAGATGTAGCCAGGCACGGCTGCCCATGCACCCTGCATTTGGGTGGCAGGGTCTGCTTCATTCCTATTCCACACACGCAGCCTGTAATTTTGGTCTATTGAAGTCATAATTCACTACTGTGAAAATAAACATTTGTGTTAGCTCGTTTTATTCAGCGGGCCTCGTCTGAATGTTAATAATTCCCTGTCGGCGTGCTTGCACGTGGGCACGGCCACTGGGACAAAGCCTGATCACCCGTGGCCATGTCCATGGCCACCTCCTTGCATGCTTTGGGTAGGAGCTCACCATCCTTTGCATGCTGAGCCGGGGGATTTCAGCAGAGAGATAGGGATAGAAATACCACCGAGAGCCAAGCTGGGGATAACAAGGGAGTAAGATAACTGTACTATAAAAATGATGTTTAGCGAAGCAGATCTGGACCATTCCCTGCCCATGCCTGTCCCTGGTTCTGTTTGCTTACATTGTTTTGTGGGTGCTCCAAACCTGCGCCAGAGCTGAGGTGGGGCAGGCAGGAGGACCCCTGGGTCACCTTCCAGCTGGCCCCATGGCAGTCCCCAGGGCTGTCCCCAGGGCTCACTCAGCCACCAGCCAGGGGGCCCAGGGCTCTCCGGGTTTCTCCCCGCTGGGTGCTGGTGCTTCCCCTCCGCATTTGCATCTTCCCAGCCTTTATCTTCCTCCCAGTCTCTGTATTGCTGCAATTACAGACACTTTAAAACACAATGATCTGGCTGTTAGCGTGATGGATGACAGAACCTTTCTGTCTGGTTTAAATCATTGCCGAGAGTGAGAGAACTTCCCCGGCTTAACCCCTTCCTGTCCCCACAGCCCAGGTCCCTGCCCAGCCCAGACTGGGGACTGCCAGTTGGGTGCTGCCATGCGCTCCCACAGCACGGTGGGTCCCTTCGATAGGGACAGAGGGGGGGCCCTGGCATCCCTGGGGTCAGTGTTGGCAGGGAAACATCCCCCATTCATCATGTCCCCGGGTGCATGGGGCAGACGTGGCGCAGTGGGGCAGGCAATGGGGCCAGCCTCACTTCTGCCCCGGGGTGGGAAAGCAACGGCCGCGCTGGGAGATAAGTGCCTGCCAGCGCCCGATAGCCTGCGGCTGGATCTGTCCCAGCCCAGGGACCTGGCAATCCTTCCCCCGGCAAATCTGGAGCGGGGCAGGATGGGGCCCCACCGGAGAGGGTGGAAACTCCTGTAACGACTCGGTGCCGGTCACGCCGGTGTGTGATTGATGGCGCGGGGTGCAGCGGGGATTAACTGTACACGTTACGGCAATTCACACCGCCTTTGTTTTGAGGAGCCAGCATC